CTAATTTTTAAACCCTGTTTATGTGCACTGTTAGAATGTATAAATCCCACTTTGAAATGTGCCTCAGACAGATCTGAAACAGATGAAAAGAGATTTTCTCAAGTTTACAGAAATGAGATTAATATCAAAGCAGAATCACTGCTTCTACAAAATTATTATTTAAAATAGCCAATACTATATCACTTAAAGTTGACATTTACAAAAAGAGGAGTAGTTGTTTTAAAATAAATGGTGCCATACATTTTAATGCACTCTACCAAGGGCTGTGAAATCCTTATATATATAAAGATATCACTAATTATCTTACTATTATATGAAAAGTTTAAAAAAAGCATTCCTTAAACTTCATTGTGATTATTACACAAATATACATTACGTTCTAATGACAAGTTTCATCAAATATATTTATGGCAGCCATACTATTTTTGAGATTCTTAATGGAAATCAAGAGATTGAACCTAGATAACCTGGTTCCAGTGTCTTCAAAGCATTACTTTTTCTACTTTGTTTAATATTATATGAAGGCCCATTCAAATATGCTATCGGTGTCTACAAGTCCTTGCACACTCCCTCTTCTGCTCCTCCTGATGTATCATTGTGTCACAATATCCTACTTGATTTTATTTATAGCAGTTACTACTCTCTGAATTTTTCTTATATATTTGTTTACTTGTTTGCTGTCTGACTTCACTAAATTACAAGGTCTAAGAGGTCAGAGAGTGTTAGTGTCTTATTCATCACTTACTCCCAGCACTTAGAATAGTGCCTGGTACACACTTGTAAAAAATTGTTGGGGCACCTGGGTGGCTCGGTTGGTTAAGTGTCTGACTCTTGATTTTAGCTCAAGTCGCGATCTCATGGTCCTGGAATTGAGACCCCATAGGCTCTGTGCTGACCATGGAGCCTGCTTGGGATTCTCTCTCTCCTCTCTCTTTGCCCATCCCTGCTTTCTCTCACTCTCTCTCAAAATAAATATATTTATAAATATAAATAAACATTTAAAAAAGTTGTTGACCAGCTGACTGACTACAAAAATGAATGCATTCAGGTCCTAGCACAAGCAGGGACTGAGATGAATGGTAAATCATTTTTAATTAATTAATTCATTCATTCACACGAGCAGTGACTAAGATGAATGAAGAATCATTAAAAAAATTTTTTTTTAATGTTCATTTATTTTTGACAGAGAGAGAGAGAGAGAGACAGAGCATGAGCAGGGGAGGGGCAGAGAGAGAGGGAGACACAGAATCTGAACAGGCTCCAGGCTCTGAGCTGTCAGCACAGAGCCCAATGTGGGGCTAGAACTCACGAACCACGAGATCATGACCTGAGCCGAAGCCAGATGCTTAACCGACTAAGCCACCGGGCGCCCCAGAATCATTTTTAACTAATTAATTAATTCATTCATTCATCCATTCTTCAGATGAAGTATTGTTATTGGAGAAAAATATTTAGAAAAACATAAATAATATCAATGAAAGCATTAGGGAGAGCTAGGTGGAGCTAATGACATTGTCATGATGAAACCAGACAATGTATGTAAACCCCCAGCCATTGGCTTGCCTCATAACAGATCTCTAAGTACTGAGAGTTATTGTGGTTATTAATTATATAGTAAACACATTTTTTAACCTTTAAAGTTTCTTTTATGATTTTGTTTTGTTTTTATAATCTGGACCTCTTAATCATAAAATAAAAAAATTTAAAAAATTGTTCTAATTATATCCATTTTCAAGGACGAGAAACTAACACATAGGTTTTATGAATCCACATACTTATTATAAAGAATACATGTTAAAAGAACTAGTAATAAATGGAGATTCACAACAAAAAAACTAAGTATTATTAAATCAAGTTTCAAAACGTATTTCCTTTTTCCAGAATTAGGTATATTATGGCACATGTGAAGAGAATGTATCAATTTTTAATTGCTCTGTATGTTCAGATTCTGCCATAAAATATATAGAAGAAAAAAGTATTGGTTACTACTAAGCGAGAGTGCTAGTGTTGTGGTCCGAAGGTGCCATAAATTGCCCATCACTTTACAAGGGTAAATTGCTAATATAGGGTTGACCTACTTAACAACTGTAAATAAAGACTTCAAGTTTGTGTTTCCAAAGCAACCTGCTTCTGACAGACTGACTCGGAAGATAAACCAGGGCACTGGCATTAAATGAGCGTTGAATCTGAGAGCTTGTTTACTTTGAAAGCATCATTTTTTTCATGCTCAAACACACTTCTATTCTGCTATATGTCACGCTGCTGCCTTGATGAGTGGCGTCTGCAGAACACATCAAGGATGGCTACCAAGTTCAACGTGTAGGGTTAAAGAGTACGTTCATTATACTTAAGCATGTGTAGGGAAGTGGGAGACAAGATGCGGAAGCGTGCCGGGAGCAAAAAGGAGAAAGGTAAAAGGGGGGAGACTTGGTCTGGTGGTCTTGATAAAATGATATGGTTGGCGCTAAATGCCATAAAATACTGACGCTGATTTGAGACAAAGTATACTTCTGAAGCCATGGTAGTTTTCCTCAGGTATTTCTCACCCCAGTGAGCATTTGTGAGGAGGTTTTGGAAGATTTTCTGTCTATTTATGACATTTAAAAAAAAAATGTTTTTTAAGATTTATTTTTGAGAGAGAGACAGACAGAACGTGAGTATGGGAGGAGCAGAGAGAGGGAGGCACAGAACCCGAAGCAGGCTCCGGGCTCCGAGCTGTCAGCACAGAGCCCGACGCGGGGCTTGAACTCACAAACCGCGAGATCATGACCTGAGCCGCAGTCAGACGCCCCACCGACTGAGCCACCCCAGCACCCCTATTTATGACATTTTACAGTGGTCTCATTTAATCCCTACTGGGTTTAGTTCTAAATACATGTGATACCATTTTATTCAACTGTAATCATCAAGGGTCTTTTTCTATCTTTTAGCCTTGGGATGGTGAATTCCAACAATTTATTACCCATAAGGTAAAATATTATTGCCTTAACTTGGCCTGATCACTACCTCTTTCATGCTTCGTGGGGTCTTGAATCTCTCCAAATGGCACAGGTATCTCTACCGTCAACTTCTATATTCCTGGCTGTCTCTATCATGCATTTTGAAACTTCGTTACATATCCCCCAATGAAATGCTAAGTTCCTGAAGGACAGAGACTCTATTCTATTTCTAGTTTTTATATAGTTGACTTCCCTTATCTTTTCCACTTTCAGCAGCATCCCTAGCACCTCACGCAGTGGGCATTTCATACCTACTTGGTGAATTGAATGGAATTCTGAAATTTGGTTCAGTCTCTATATCATTGACTCTATGTACCCTTTCTGATCTCATGGCCATTCTCTTAGAAATTCTAAGGCTTGAAATGGTTGCATACGGATATACCATCAGCTGGCAGCCCCACTTTTCTCTAGGGCCATTTATAACCCTGTTATGAGGACTTTTTGATGGGTTTTGACTACAGCACCAATGTTTTAACTTCAAGGCAATTATGTTCCAAAGTAAGATTATGCTGCTATCTATCAAAGACACCTACTTTAAACCAAAAAAATTTTTTGGCTTTTTTTTGGCCACAACAATAAGTTGTCACGCAAAGTATTAGTGTAATTCTAACTAAAATTCATCTCAAATGAACTCAGAATAATGTATACAGAATAATGCACTGTGAACATTCTTAATCATGTCTCTTCTTTGTTTTAAATAAAATGGCCATTTTCTGTAAAGTGTAAATGAACAAAAAAATATTTTTAACTGCAACTAACAACTGAATAAGTTAACAGTGGATCAAACAACAACAAAATGACATTGTGCTGTGTGTTAGAGAGTATTATTGATGCGTAAATCTCTAAATAAAATATCGAGGAGTGGCTATTATATAATAGCTGATAACCCTGAAAAGCTTTTTGTTTTTCAGGATACTTAAAAGCTTAATTCTATATCCACTGCTATTATATTTCACTGCCAAGTGGAAGAAAATAAATGATTCTAATCTTGGATTTCACCATCAGTGCTCAAAACAGCTCTAATGCAGATTATGGTGTAATTATTGTAAATGCCAAAATAATATAATTAATCTTAACCACTTCACTAAATCAAAGTGTCTTAGAACAAAAAAGACAAGGCAACATGTACAAGCACATACAGGGTTGTATAACTAAATATATTTCAAAAATTCTAAAGTAGCAAATATAGACGAGCTTCAAGATTTTTGGGCACCATTGGAAATAACAGGAAAATACACACTGTTTGCATTTATATTAGGGTTGATTTCCATTTAGTTGTCTTTCACCAATAGGTCACTGAAACTTAAACTATGTCTACTACTTAAAAGTTATAAAGCCAATTTTAAAACTATTCGTCATAGTAGTTTTAACAGTAGCCTCCTCAGTTTTAGGAACATTGACTTCATTCCTCACATCATCCAGTACTTGTGCTAACTACCTGCAGGGCATTTGTTCAACGAATGCCTCCGGCTGATGGCCTGCCATGTGGCTTAAATAGAATGCCTCCAAATAATCGCAAATAACAGTGACAGGAAATACACGTTCTCTGTGACTAGGGCCAGTCTTCCCACAGAATGGAACTTTCCTCCCAAATATTTTCCTAGACTAGAGGCGGCAGAGGAAGGATGCGGGAGGTATAGCTGAGCTTCTGAAATCAATTCGCATGGTTCTGCCAGTGAAGTGCGGCCTCCCCTTTTTTAATCGTTTAGATAAAATGCAACAACTGATGCACATAAGGGGGTATTTAATTCTACCTTGAAAGCGATCCTTATTAGAAAAGATTCATTTCCCCAAATCTGAAATGATTTCTCTTATCCTTAGTCTTCTTCTAAAACTGACTATATTTAATAAGGAGAACTCTGATTAATATTTTTTTTCACTATTCCAACAGTATAGGGAAATTCCCCCGCCCACATCGGGAGCCACTCTCAGGAGCACATGTACCAGTCTCAGACGCATATCTAGTTCATAAAAGACTTTTTTGAGCTGACAAATACTAACTTTAAGGTTGGATAAGCAGTTGTTGAGGAAAATGTGCCACCTGTTCAGGAACAGCTGCTTCTGACTGACACAGAGAAGACAGGTCACCAGGGGGTACAGGGCCTGAGGAGAAAGAAGATGAGGTCACGAGCTGATTCATATTTCATCCAATCAGGTAACGCACGTTCTCTGCGATCGCTACCTATCCACCTCCTTCTGTGGGCCATAATAAACAGGACGCTTCATAACACAACGAGGCCCAGGGGTGCCATGCAGAGGTAGGCATTTCACAAATGCTTTCTGATGATGATGCGGATGGAATTATCTAGAATTACATGGTGTATAATAGTGTGTAATGTATAATAAGCTTCATGTATAAGTGGAAATCTGATTTACTCATTTAGTCTTCACTTAGGGATTTTAAAAACAAACTCATTAGCTTAGATCACTCTCAATTCTCAGAAAGAAAGCAGGAAGGCACATGAATTTTAAAAATATTATTGGGCTTTTCCCTCATAAACATCTACTAGCTTGTCTTTGTCTTAGAGGTAGGTGTATATATTTTCTTTTGCATGCAATCTTCCTGTAATTAAGGAAGATTCCTCAAAGAAATGTTATTGCATTGGTAAACTCCACCAAGACAAATTTAACCACAGGAGGAATTTGCTTACGACTGAATAAACAGAGGTGCTACTGTGTTTTCCTGCCTAACTGGGCTGGTTTCCCACAGCAACTAAAGGAGACAGAAAAGCTAATGAGCGGCCACCCAAAAAATATATATGCAGAACCCATCGCCATTTTTGCTGAGCCAGATGGCATACACCTTTAGGGCTCCCAAGAATTAAAGCTAGGGAAGATCTAAACAACAATATAACTGGATCATCCATTAGGCTGAACTAGCAAACAAACAAACAAACAAACAAAAAACAAGACAAAAAACAATTGCCATAATGAGAATCATTGTGTAACAATCCACTAGCTTAATATTTTAGTCACTTGGCTTTAAACTGACTTTGAACTACACTACCATTGAGAAGAACTCTAATTCCAGCCAGCAATCTAAAACAAAACAAACTAAAACACAACACAACACAACAAACAAACACAAAAAACTACTAGTAGTCAGTCACAATGACCACAGAAGTACAAAATAAGCAAATCTGTCACCCCTGCCAGCAAAGCAACCCTGAATACTCGCTCAAAGAATGGTGGCAATGCTCATACTTTGAAGATTGGCAAAAACCATGTCAGCAAACATCTACCTAAATAACCTACTTCCTTCAAACTATCACAATTATAGCTCATACGCCACGTGTCGATTCATAAACCAGAGTCTTCTTCACCACTGAGGGCAACAGGTTGTAGTAATTTAAAAGACTTCTCTGCACCGCTGCTTTTCAGCACAAGACCTTTCCCAAATACTGTTTTCTCAGCCTTCAGAGAATCTTTCCTACAGGCGACCATCTGCCTCCCAACCCTCTTTGCTGCCTGGTTCCATTTGATTTTGAGTATCAGGCTAGGAATCAACCAGTGAAGACTTGTGGGGATTGAAAAGATAAACTGTTATTATAAACTTTGACTTTTAGATTGGAAAAAATACCCAGAAATAAAAACAAAAATCAAGTTAAGCCAGTCTTGAAAATAAACAACAGAATCTTAAGACGAGAAGGGTCATCTGAGGTGACATGGTCTAATCCCCTTATATTACTGCGATTCAGTTATGGTCAATATTAAGTGCAAGATCCAAAGTTTGAAATGCTCCCTCTTTCCGGGGGAGCTGTAGATAAATCTTCCATCTGGGGGGAACCCTTACGACTTTCAAGTAATTTCAGCGTAGGAATTTTAGCCTCTGCAATTTTGTATTTTGGATTTTCTCATAGTTACTAACCAACGAATGCTTCTTTCGAGAAGAAAGTTCCAGCGTGGTATCATATAGGCTTTCAACAAAGTTTCTAAGACAGGGAACATTGACTTCATTTTTAACAGCCTAAAACAGAGACCCATGTTAATATTATATTAATTACATTGTTAACTCTCTAATCTAATTTGAGGAAATTCTTAAAAATAAAAACATAACTCACGGCAGCAACTGGGACAAGAATTTCAACAAAAAGCCCAGCCAAGGCATGTTTGATATCTTTGTCTTTGACCTCGAGGAAATAATGTGCACATTCCTAGGAAGTAGAAAAAGCATAAAGGAGGGAGAGAAGATTGAGATATGCACATAAATGCACTTAAATTTAAGTAAACAGCTCTTAAATCATACACACTGACATAGCATATTTCATAATCTAGTAAAGAAAATCCCTAGATTCCAGCACTTATATTTATGTTCAAAATGGCCCTGGGGCACGTGAGTGGCTCAGTTGTTAAGCATCCGACTTCAGCTCAGGTCATGATCTCACAGTCCGTGATTTTGAGCCCTGCATCAGGCTCTGTGCTGACAACTCAGAGCCTGGAGCCTGCTTCAGGTTCTGTGTCTCCCTCTCTCTCTGCCCCTCTCCTGCTCTCAGTCTCTCTGTCTCTCTCTCAAAATAAATAAATAAATAAATAAATAAATAAATAAATAAATAAATAAAAATAAAAAAAAATTCAAAATGACCATGACGACATTTTGCAAGACTGGTGTCCTCCTATTTCTATCTCAAATCACTTTGCTGAAAGGACAAAGCACCTATAACCAGTGAGCAGATATTCATCCACTGACTTCTTGGTTGATTCATTCAGACATTCATTGCTGACAAATTTCTATTGACCATCTACTGTGTGTGGGGCCCTGGGTCCTTGATTAACCCACAAACACAGATCTCCAGAGAAGGTAAACATGGGAAGAGAGGCAGAAGATATTAAACTTATTTTAGGCCCTGTGACAGCCCCAGGCACAGAGCTGTTTACTTCTTAGCTCTGACATTTTAGGTGTGTTTATTATTCAGATAGTTTCATAAGCAAGTCTGGAATGCTTCCCTTCCTCCCACCACCCCCTCTCCCCAACCCTACCCCCAGACAAGAAACCTTTAGAATAGCTCCTCAAGTAAGGATGTCTTTTGCCTGTGGCCTACTATCTACGAAAGAACTGTTTTGTTGTTTTGTTTTGTTTTGTTTTGTTTTGAGACTGAATGAGCCGGGGAGAGGGGCAGAGGGAGAGAGAGAGAATCTTAAGCTGGATCCACGGTCAGCTCAGAGCCTGATGTGGGGCTGGATCCTATGACCCTGGGATCATGAGCTGAGCCAATATCAAGAGTCAGACTCTCAATCAATTGAGCCACATAGGTGCCCCTATGAAGGCTACTTTTGGTGGCCCAGAGAATCATTTGTTAGGAAAGCTGATCTGTTTAGAATCCAACTAGCCCTTTTCTCCTTCCTGGCCTTTTTCATAATAACTTACTATGCTGTTCATTAGGTATTGTTTTCATGGAAGGGTCCGAGGCTACACGTATTTGTGATGATATGTTAACATCTACATTAGCTATTATATTTATTTTCAGTCAACATGGGGACCGTTGCCAACACAAGTTACTAAAATCCCTAGTCTATCAATTCTATATTTAGATATCAATGCAAGATAGGCGTTGCCAACATGGAAAGTCATGGTTTCTGGAATTGTGGCCCTTTTCCTACATTACTTTGTATATGTGTATAAACACTCTTGCAAATGGTCATTCAAATACATAGTTACATGAATTATTCACATGAGAGAGGGATAAAAATAGTTAACAGTTAGTAAGTACTTACCATGTGCCTCCTCAGAGCCACCTTCTAAGGTTATTGCCACCATCACCACTTGGCACTAAGGTAGGAGAGGCTGGGAGGGCTTAAGCATGACTGGGCCAAGGTCACAGGGCTGGTAAGTGCTACAGCTTGATTTTAAACCCAAGAAGTTTGATACACAGCCCATATTCTTTCTTTAAAAAATAGCTTTACTCAGACACAGTCAATATAACATGAAATTCACCATTTAAAGTGTACAAACCAATGGCTTTTAGTACATTCATGGTTGTACATTTATCACAACAAGTTTAGGACCTTTCCGCTATCCTCCAAAGAAACTTTGCGCCCTTCAGTAGTTATGTCCAACCTCCTTATCCATACCCCTTCCTCCAACTCTTCATACGATCACTAATCCACTTTCTGTGTCTATGGATTCGCTTATTCTGGACATTTTGTATAAACGGAATCATACAATATGTGGCCTTCGGCATCTGACTGCTTTGACTTAGAGTATTGTTTTCAAGGTACATCCATGTTGTGGCATGTTATTAGTACTTCATTCCTTTTCATGGCCAAGTGATATTCCCTTTATGGATCTGCCACCATTTGTTTATCTATTCATTGGTTGATGAACATTTGGGTTATATTCACTTCTTTGTTATTATGAATAATGAATAATGTTACTATGAATAATAACATTTGCCTTCAAGTTTTTGTGGGGACATATATTTTTCTCTTGGATATATACCTAAGGTTTAACAATCGAGGAACTGCTAAACTGTTTTCCAAAGTCGTGTGATTTTATATCCCCACCAGTGTGTGAGTGTTCCAATTTCTCTACATCTCACCCACACTTGCTGTTGTCTGTCTTTTTCATTATTAGCCACTTTAGTGGGTATGAAGTGGTATAGCCTCCATTCATAATCCCTATATATAAACTCTTTATTGATAAAGACCCTCACTAAATCCAATTCACAGCAGCATCAGAGAGAGTTTTATAAATTCTCATAGAGCTGCGTGTTCTGCAAAATCCACACTAGCAACAATTCTTTTGTTAGTACATAATGAGGAACACTGTGTAATTGACGCTTACACCTGTATGGTTTGGTTGATTTAAAAAAGAAAACCTGATTCTCTCATATAGTAGGAATAAAAAGTTTCTTCCCTAACGTTCTGATGCCTATGAACACTAACATAGCCACCTCAATGCTATCAGGTATAAAAAGTAAAAAGATCAGCTACATTTTATTCATAGATCGATATGCAGCTGAGGAGTAAAAAAGAAAAAAAGTCAACATATACGAGATTCCACTCTACAGCCTCCTGCAAAGAGGAGATGAAAGTTTGAAAGTGAAATTATCTGCCTGAAATTCTATTACTGGGATACAAAGCACGTTGTGAATTGCTGAGGCAAAGGCAGGACTCTTTCCACATTGACAAGCAAATGACTTGGAATCAGGTCCATCATTCTGATGAAGGGAGTTGCTCAGGGTGAGGGCCCCGTGGTTCTCCTGCCCAAGACATTACCTACCTGCATAAACTGAAGAGAGGCCTCAAAGTCCTCCACTGGATACATCTTAATTCGAAAGAATTTCATCCCCATTATCAAGCTGATAATACTCTGAACGACATACGGGCTCTGCTCTTTGTGCCGTAATTCTTTTAGCTCTGCCATAAATTTCTTCTTTACAGCAGGGAATCTAAGAAGAGAACATGAGTGACTTCTCAAATCATGGGTACAAAAGTGACTGTAATGGAGGCCTCCAGCATCTAGGAGTGATGGGGACACAGCAACAGCGTTCCTTTGAATCAGGTGAAGTACATGGCTGTCATTTTGTAAGGATTCGATACTGGGGATTTGGCAAAGAGTACAATCTTCTCCTTTCTTCTCTTATTCTCATAAGATGCTCAACATTTCCTTCAGTCAGGGAGAAGATCCAGGGCTATTTAGACACTCTCAAAATGGTCTAGCTCTTAAATTGAGCACGACAAAAAGCTTCTTTTCCTCAGGCTTAGCAATTTCCCACATACTTGCAAACTCCAATGGCCTAAAGTATCCAATTTTAAGCATCTGAACAATATCACAGGCCAGCTATTTCTGACAATGACAGCAAATAATGCCAAGACATAGTCCCAATCCATTTCCAAAGTTTTCTGTCGTTGTTTCTTTTATAGTTTTAGGTTAATGATTGGTGAAAAAATTATTTTCAGGTTGAAGGAAAATCTACTAATGAAAAAATACAAATCAAATCTGAAAGACGAATAAGCTTTCTACTACCTGCGCGGGATGTTACAATCAAAGAGACGCAGTCTGCAAGGAATGTAAGGTATCTGTATTATTTGAAAGGAAAATGTTAATATTAAATAATATTAATTATAACATCATCATATAGGATTAAAACAATAGATCCTAAGAGGATGGAAAATAGTAGCAGTTCTTCCAAGTATCTAAGGTAGAGGAATATATACACAGAAGTTATCCAAACTACTTCTGAAATGGCTGGTTAAGAAAACAAGGAAAGCCTTCTAAAACTCATTGTATTTCGCTTCCTGAGACGATCAGCCTGTGGTTCTACATATGTGAAAAGGTCAATTAGGAGCGAGGCATGATTAAAGAGGGTTATTATATTATGAAAGTTGAAGGCCCAGTAATGGAATCTGAGAAGGTTGAAACAACAACGTTGGATACCTCAATGTAGAAAGTTTGGGACAAATAAAGTAGGCTGTAAACACAGATAATGTTTCACCAGAAGGCAGTACAAGAGGTGTGTGATTGGCAAGTCGGTGTAAGAGGCTTAGAGAGAGCCGGCCATTTTCTAGTTCTCAGCTTGGGTACAGGAAGTTACATGACGCTCCTTTGGTAACAGTTTGTGAAAACTGTATTTTTCTAAACCAATTTATGGATTTTTTTTCTCATGTTTGCTCCATATATTTCACAATAAAAAAGGTTTGTAAGAAGGCAACGGAGCAGAAAATATAAACTCCAAATTCCTGGGTCATCTCTCTTTTCTACTTCTTCTAGAGGAGGAAAACAATCTGATGCCGAGGATGGTGACAATGGCAGCAACAAGCAGATATATCCAGCATCCATGATATGCCCAGCACAGTTCAGTGAACCCTGCATTTCATCTTCACAATTATTTAATCCTTGCAACTCGAGCAGGGCACTATTATTATACCCTCTTCACAGACAAGGGAACTTGAGGCTGAGATTTCTTAATGTGATAAAGTCGCACAGCTGATAAATGGCACAGCCAGGGTTTCAAGCCAAATGTCTGGCTCTAGAGTCCCAGTGCTTAATCTCCGTGCTATGCTATGTCTAGGCCAGTGGTTCTCAAAGTGTGGCCCTGGGATCAGCAGCAGCAGCATTGTGTGGGAACTTGTGAGGAACAGGCTTTATCTGGCCCATGCCATGCCTATCGGATAAGAAACTCTAGGGGTGAATTCCAGTAATCTCGTTCAACCAACCGTATAGGTGATTCTGATGCGCTAAAGTTTATGATGCACTGGTCTAGACTAGGAATAACAATAAGGTATATTTGTAAGATGTTTAATATTTTAGGGGCGGTTGTCTCAGTCAGTTGAGCGTCTGACCTTGGCTCAGATCATGATTTCACGGTTCATGAATTTGAGCCCCACATCAGGCTCTGTGCTGACAGCTCGGAGCCTGGAGCCTGCTTCAGATTCTGTGTCTCCCTCTCCCTCTGCCCCTTCCCCACTTGTGCTCCGTCTCTCTCTCTTTCTCAAAAATAAATAAACAATAAACAATTAAAAAAAGATGTTTAATATTTGATGCACATTATACTCCTTTTACTTTCACAAAAACCCATTGAGTCAGGCAGTGAATGCATTCCCATTTTACAAATGAAGAAACAGATTTGGAAGATCGACATGACAAAGACGACTCAAACCCAGGTCTTCTGACATAAAGTCCAGGAATTTCCACCATACTCCAGCTGCCTTACGTGCTCATGAACTATGAAATATAGTTGCTGCCCTAAGAACAGTGTATAGTTTGTTTGGGAATATAAAACGATGTAGAACTGGCCATGAGTCATGCAAATAATAACAATAATAATAATAATAATAGTTTGTGAGGTGCGTTCACAAGTATCTGACCCTTTGCTCAAATCTTGCTGATCCTTCTGGGAGGTGGAATGCTAGACTAGATCACTTTCTCATTTCACATTGCCTTTTATGTGAATAATACACTTAAAGAGGCTCCAAGGCAAGGAGAAAGGGCTCTTTCCAGCTGGAAAATTAGAGGAGATTTGGGGGGATTTGAGTTGAGGTAAAGGATGAGACTTTATGCAGCAACGAGAAAGGGTGGGAGGCAGAGTTGGTGTGGCAAAGCAATGGAAGGGACACTTTCAATCAAGATTGTATACATTTATTAATTCGCAACTGGTTTTTAAAAATTATGTGTTTATTCAAGTTATTTCCAAATACTAAAAAAAACCCTATTAATGACTTTTTAAATGTTTGTTTATTTATTTTGAGAGATACAGTGGGGGAGGGCCAGAGAGAGGGGGAGAGAGAGAGAATCCCAAGCAGGCTCTGTGCTGTCAGCACGGAACCCAATGTGGGGCTTGATCCCATGAACTGTGATGTGATATCATGACCTGAGCTGAAATCAAGAGTCAGACACTGAATCGACTGAGCCGCTTAGGTACCTCTCAGTGATTTTAATTTTAAATGTGAGAGTTTAAAAGGAAAAAAGTAATCTAATAGGTTAGACTTATATTGTTTTAAGGACCATATGATACTTAAGAAAGTTTGTTTTCCATCCCTAATCCATGACTAAAACAAGAAGAGGTAGGAGAGGGCAGGTTATTTGTATAATTTACTAGTTCCACATTTTCACAAGTAGAGGTGGCTGGAAGTCTATTTATTTCTCATTTAAGAATAAATATGGTTATCTTTTGCTTTTAAAAGTCCCAAATGACATAAATATACTATTTTAGCATAAAAAAATACCCAAATCTATTTGCACTTAAAATTTATTTTCCCCTAAAATAATTTTAGGAAAAAATAAATGTATTTTCAATGACTATGCCTTTAGTGTTTAGTAAATACAGTAATTAAATCGTTACTCAGTCTTTGGTATACTATAACATCTGTATAAAAATAAACTGCTTTAAAATGTTTAGTACATATAAAAGAGTATAAGAATATGTACATCATGTTTATATCACAGAAAGAGAAAGCAATTTTGAAATCTATGAATCTTGGAGGCCGTTATGACTATTTAAATAAGCATACCAGATTTTAACCAAAAAAACTTACTCTAAAAAAATCTAATCTTAACTAAACTGACTTTGAAAAAGTCAACACTTTGGGCAAATCTCACAAACCAGCAAAATTGTTTCCCCTTACCGGTAGGAGTTAAGTGCATTAGCACGAGGAAGATTAAAAATAGTGATTTTGCTAAAACTTAAAGACCAAAACTAAGTATTAACAACTACAGTCAGAATAAAGACAATATTTCATATGCATTACCGGCTAGACATAAGATCTAAAATTAGAACTGTTACATTACTCCCTTCTTTGGGAAACAAAAAAAAGATAACCACTCTGTAGTAGATAAGCATACATCCTTTTTCCCCCCACTGAGAACAAAGGAAACAGTACTTGCCTAAGGCAATGACAAAGTAATGCTTCTGGCCTACTCATGAGAAAGAGTAATGTGATAATTTGGATTATGACACTGGCTGAAGATTGTATCATCTATCAATAAAGGTTACCTATACACTGACGAGGTGAGAATACAGCCCTGTGATTGCTCTACATTACTGCAGGTACTGTAAGAACTCACTGGCCAAAGGGTTCTCTTACGAGTGGAAAGTACTGGAACATTGTCCAAATTGAGACATTTCACATACTTGGCTATTGCAGAATTAGGACAAATACTGACATCATGGAAATTTAAAAAACCACGGTTGGCAAGAAAACACTGGACTGGTGGATCATAGATCTGACCTAATATGGAAATTCCTATAGCCTTAGAGTGTTGCTTGCTTATGACATTGTTTTTCAATTCATTCATAACTAACTCAAAACTGATGTGGCTAAGAAAGGTCATTCTAAGGAAACCAATATTGTTTGCATAATCCACAAAAACTAAGAAAAACACAAAAGCCATTTTTTGGCAAATTAAACTTTCCAAACGATAGTATAAGAGAATAGGTCTGAGGTAATACCAAGAGGAATTACACAGGAATATGTTGAGATTTTCAGGGTTTGACACAAATCAGCCGAACACATAGCAATAACTCATTTTTCTGATCTTTTATAGGAACGAGGTACATACATATGAATCAAGCTGCCAGGCAATTGAAGCTTATCCCTTAAAAATGCCAATACTTTTATTGTTAGTTGCAATAAAAAATATATTATGCTTTTTTTTCTTGATGACTCATGAACCACAATTATCACAATGGGCTACGATAAAAGTGTGATATGATCTCATGCAAAATGGCCCAGGTAACACTGTAGTTTTTTCAGTGTGCTTTGGTTACTTTTTCTTTCCTCTCCGTTGTTGACAGTCTTTGAGCTTGATATTTCTCACGGCATCAGTGCGTCTACCTCTCTTCCATCCAACAGCGATGTTTTAGGGGTTCGAAAAAATAGCTACCCGAGATGGATAAACTGGGTTAGAGTAAGTAAGTCACACTGAAGAGTTCTGGGGGTCTGTTGCCTGAGTTCTTGTCTATGTTTGGCTAGGTAAGGTTGCTGAGTACACATTTTCAAAACTTTTTGTTTTTTGATAATTGGGTATTTCCATGCTACTAAGTTAGGAAACACCATCTCTTCTTGAAGATAAAAATCTCTTTCTGAAGATTGTATTTCATAAGCATCAGGGCATCACTGTTGCTTTAAGCTCAACTCTTGGCCTGGATTCGCATTATGTCTCTGGCTCATTTGCCTCACCTAGGCATTCGGGATCTTGCCTGATGTGCCTCGGGGTTGAGTAAGATGAAGACGGGTGAATAAGATGTGACATCACTTTTGGAAGAAGTATATTATTGGTAATGGTCTAACACCACTTTGTTCTAGCCTGCTAAGTAGCGTTATGGGGCCAGATAAATTTAGCAATGAGAATTTTCCCCCGACTTGTTTCCATGACAGAGTCTGGGACATTTTTAGCTCAGCTGAGTTAAGTAAGCTCTATAGTAAAGGGACATTCTAGAATGGAATTTTCCCATTCACAGATGGTAGATATCGTAGCTACACGCTCAAAGAATACAGAAAACAAGACTCCTCAAAGTGGTAAACTTCTTTGGAATATTTGTGGCAGAGAGGAAAGAAATTTGGTTCGTCCGGTTCTTTCCTTGATGCAGTAGTCTGAAACTCATGGACTCCTGGTAGCCCCTGGCCCAAATGCCGGGTAAAAAAGGTAGGGGAGAAAACAATTGAAAAAGACTTGGTACTTGCCTCGAGGGCGCTTTTAGTCAATTTGCTATGAAACCCATAGCAAAAAAAAAGACCTTAGCTCTCAGTAAGCTCACACACAGTCCCTTCCTGAGAATGGAGCTGGGCGGCGATAGGGGAGGGGCTCAAGATCTTACGGTAAAGGGCTGACGTTCACTTACTTAGCTTGTGCCAACACTCCAATGACTTCTGCGTACAGGTCTGCCACGATGTGCATATTTCCAGTGTTAGGACCAAGGTACCTAAATAAGATACGATTAGATGAGTTAGGGATCCCTGGTCATCTAAAAAGAGCAAACTTGTTTTAGTTTTAAGTGCCCAACTTCTTCAAAATTCTAAACAGACAAATTACTTTACCCTTCTTTGTACTTAAAGTGCTTGAAAGCCAAGTTAATAACATCATGTATTAGACTGTCTATTACAGGATGAAGTGGAATCTGAAAAGAAAAAAAAAATCGCTTTAACTTGGAAGAGAATATTAAAGATCACATCAATAATAGTACTTCTGTCATCCTTAGCAATCAATAAACACAATTCATATGCCCCAATATTTGAAATTCATGGACAATTTAAAACTTAGATTTTAAAAACATAAGTAGTTTTCAGATAAACCTTATCTAAAAGAAACATTAAATTACTGACCTGTTTCAAAACTTCTATTAATACTAAAGAAAAAATGAAATCAATGGCGAGGTCCCGTCTTTCCATTAAATAATCACGCTGTTGTTCATCACTGTAAAATTTAAAATATTCATATTCAGTGGCACTGAAAAAATTCTCGGAGTGCTACAATTCGCCAGACATCTAGGGCTCATTCCCAGTGGACTGTAAACCAGATTTGCTATTTCAAGATTGCAGGGGTAAATATATGCTAATGCTTTTTGTTACCAGTGAGGTGCAGTGAACTAACACAGGATCAGAATATTTGACTTCAAATTTCAACTTTTCAGCCATGTCAACTTGAGTAGCTATCTGTGAGTCTACAAGCTCATCCTGTGGGCTCTTCCAAGGTAACTTTCTGGAATCCTATCATCTCTAGAACAGATACAGACGCAGGGCAGGGCTGTCATATTGGAGGTATATATTGAGAAGCACCTATGAAAGAAGCTACACAATGTAGAGAATAATAAGGACGTAGTACCATGATCAGCCACAGCAGGACTATGGAGGGTGGAGAAAGGTTAGGAGCCATTTCTCTCTCTCTCTCTCTCTCTCTCTCTCTCTCTCTCTCTCTCTCTTTTGTTTCCATGCCTCTTTCCTCGTGACCTTCTGCCACTTGAAGTTTGTGAAAGAAGAAAAAAGTGAATGGGATGGTGGGAGAGAGAATGGTTATAAAGCAGGTGGAAGAAGAGGTAGAAAGAAGCAAAGTGGAGTCATTTGAACTCACTCAAAAGTCAGGGAGCTGAATAAACACTGTCAAAGGACAGAAATGTCAGTCTACCTCCATCCCACCCCCTCACCCCGGGTTCTGCTTATCTAACATACTAACTGAAGGCTGACTGGGAATGGAACAAAGAAAGACAAATTAAACGATGGCTGAGGCTCTAAGCACAGAATAGTGGCTACGAGCATTGGCTTTGGTGTGGAACAGTCGTAGGTTAAAATGATGCTTCTTCTATTTACCAGTAACTGTTCCATCTACACAATGGGAATGATAATAGCAATTACAGAAAGGTTTGCTTGAGTATTAAATAAGATAAAGTGTGTAATATGTTTAGCATAGTCTCTCAAACATGTAAATGCTCCATCCTTGGAATTTTAAGTAAGAGCAATGAGAAAGGAGGACCAGAGTTGGGCTTGTCAGGCAGGTATTTTCAAAATAAATCAAGAATATTAAAAAAATATTTTTTTTAATTTAAAATGTTTTATTTAGGGGCGCCTGGGTGGCGCAGTCGGTTAAGCGTCCGACTTCAGCCAGGTCACGATCTCGCGGTCCGGGAGTTCGAGCCCCGCGTCGGGCTCTGGGCTGATGGCTCAGAGCCTGGAGCCTGTTTCCGATTCTGTGTCTCCCTCTCTCTCTGCCCCTCCCCCGTTCATGCTCTGTCTCTCTCTGTCCCAAAAATAAATAAACGTTGAAAAAAAAAATAAATAAAAAATAAATAAAATGTTTTATTTAAAATTTTTTATTAAATTTTATTAAATTTTTATTTAAATTTTTTAATTTAAATTTAAATTTAAATTTTTTTAATTTAAAATATGTCTCTTTTTGAGAGACAGAGAGACAGAGTATGAGTAGGGGAGTGCCAGACAGAGAGGGAGACACAGAATCCAAGCAGGCTCCAGGCCCTAAGCCGTCAGCACAGAGTCTAACGCGGGGCTTGAACCCACAAATCGTGAAATCATGACCTAAGCTGAAGTTGGACCAACTGAGCCACCCAGGCACCCCAAGAATATTTTAAATATGGAGTTTTTTTTTTTTTTTTGCTTCAGTCAATGGGAATGAGAAGAAAGGAAGGTGATATGTAAGATATAAAAAAGAATTTCTGGAGAAGCTCTATAACCATAAACAAGTCAAGTAAAGGCTGGCGAGTGACAGAATGGGTTAGCAAGGGAAGTTGCAGCTCTAACTCTCAAGGAGAAATGTATGGACAGAGTAGGAGCTCATTCATTCACGATTATTGCAAATAGTCTTGCCAGGAGGGAGAGCACTGGGCCAAACCATCTATCTGAAGTCCTTCAAGACCCACTAGAACTTGGAAGAGCTCCTGCCAGCTGGAGGAGAGGAAAACACATCCAACTGCCTTAAAAAAGAACATTCATCAAGCCTGACCTAGAGATTATAGCATGGAATAAGTAAACAAGATGTTTGAAGACCAAAAGGAAGGAGAACTTTCAAAGATGGCCAGCAGCAATAGAGAGAAAATGGTTGTGTTGGATGGCCAATAAGGGTCTTTAAAAGGGGCCAGAGGACCTTGAGAAAGTAGCAGTTCTTGGCAGGGAAAAAACTTTAAACCCCGGATTCTATTTTATTTAATGAGCCAATTTATGCTTTCAAATAAAAGTAAGACCTATACTTTTCCAATAATGAATTCAACTTTATTGCTGGTTTGAGGTCTAACTGCCAGGAGCCAGCAGCATCTGACAAATTTATTTGGCAGTCAAAATGTTGATATTATACTAATCTTAGAAATTGTAACCCTAGTACACATCTGTCACACTTAACTGTTTTCGGTTCCTTGTGCTTTTCTCTAAAGTTCCTCTTTTTTTTTTCCCTAGTAACAGAAACTCTCATTATTACCTACATCATGCTCTAGACACCCTCATTCTTTTGGCTTTCTCCCAAACACACATTCTTATTTTGGACGTCCAAATGCTAATTAAATGCTGCTGAGTCAAATTTCACTGTCCTGATGCTATATTTGATATTGGCAATTACTCTGATCTCCTGAAAACAATTAGTAACGTGAGTTTTAAAATACTATTTTCAAGGGTTCCTGGCTGGCTCAGTCTGTAACATGCAACTCTTGATCTCAGGGTCATGAGTTCAAGCCCCATGTTGGGCATGGAGCCTCTTAAAAAAAAAAAAAAAAAAAATATATATATATATATATATATATACACACACACACACACACACACAAAGTAAAATAATATATATATTATATATATAATCATTTTCAATATTTTCAATACAAAAAGAAATAAATTCATGGAAAATCTAGGTTTAGTAACTAAATTATGACAAAACAGAGAAACAAAACTAAAACTCACTTAATTCAATTAAAACTGCCCCATTCTTCATCCCCAAGGAAAGGTTTAATATCTACTCATAAACTAACATGTAATATGGGAAGAATAATAAAATGATACCATTAATTTATTAATCTCACAGTCTGAACAAATTTTAGAATTGAGACTTTACCTTTCAAATTTGATATATCAAAAAAATATTTGTGAGAAGAGACTGCTAATTAGTATGAGATTTCTTTTCAGGGTTATGAAATGTTCTGGAATTAGTGGTGATGGCTGTACAACCTTGTGAATATACTAAAAAACACAGAATTACACACTTTAAAAGAATGAATTTTGCCAGGTATAAGTTATATCTTAATAAAAAATTCCCCGTCTTCAACTAAAAAAAGATTCAATATAAAAAGTTATTAATTCCTCTCCCAAACAAAATGATTAACAAATGATTGAATCTTGCATAAACTCAAGCATGTTATAAAATGAAATCACAACTTTGGATGAAATGTAATTCATTTCATGACATTGAGAAGTGGATATTTTTAAAAAAGCATTAGAAGTGTCAAGAAATAATGAGAGACATAAATCACTCACAAGAAGTAGTTAATATCTGATTTTCTGAATGATTCATTTCTGTCTTTACTGTTTTAAAAAGTGCACCATCAGTTCATATGGAGATGTTTTTAAAATAATCTTTTTTTTAAGAAAAGGTAAATATAGTCAACTTTCTTATATTTACTTATATTTCAAACATATGAATTCCATAGATTTATGTAAACTTTGGGGGGATGGCACCTTCATTTGACAGTAAAAGAATCTTAAATTTTATGGTTGCTAAAGGGTTCATGTAGCAGCAAGTTCCACTTTTCAAATCCATAAGAGAAGAGGGAGCACAGAATAATACAAATGTTGGCTGCAAGGGAAGTTCGAGATGAGGTAATCTGACTTCCCTGTTTCGCTAGTGAAGAGACTAAAGTACAGAGAGGTCGTGAGCTGCCCAAAGTCACGGGGCTCATGGATGGCACCTCCAGGTCTACTGCTAAGGTCCTGTCCAGCCTCCTTCCCATGACGGCACACCAGGCACTCAAAGTTCCTAACAAGGACTAGGCAGCACCATGTGGGGCCTACTACAGCCTTTCTGCTTTTAGGTGCAGACGGGAAGAGAGAGGGCTCAGGAAAGTAGCAAGGTAATCTAGGGCCCTTTACACCTGCCCTACCAATGTCAAAATAAGGCTGAGTGTGTCTTTTCAACCTGTGACAAGTGGCAGTGACTAGCACTCCCACTGCTAGACAAGGGGCCACCTGTGCCACCTGCTAGGTATCCATGTGCACCTGCAAGGTATCCATGCATAGGCAGGAAGATTTAGATGCTGCATAAATCCCATTTTGATTTATGTTTCTGAAAGAGAGAAAGAAGGAAGAAAGAAAGAAAGAAAGAAAGAAAGAAAGAAAGAAAGAAAGATCCTCATAATTCCTACACATAAGAAATGTACCTTTTTGATTTATTGCTTGTTCTTGGTCTGTATTCATGTGATTCATCCTCAATGCCATTTTGCCTTTTATACCAGTCAAATAATGTACGCAGAATGGAAGGCAGGCAGTACTCAGAAAGGGAGCTCATTGAGCTGATGACCTACAGAGAAAAAGAGGTGATAAAAAAGGCTTTGGTGGCTCTGGCAATTACTGAAATACTTTTCATTTCACAAATAACTCCAAGCTATATTTCTTATGTATCACACCTTTCCCTTAACAATCTTTATGAGTACATTCCCAAGAGGCCAAATCTTATAATGTTTACAGATGTTCCTCATATAATAATTTTGTGGTTCAAGAAAGTTAATTACTTTGACTTCCTTTCATTCTAGAAGTCAGATGTTAATTGCACACAGGTTATTCATGGACTGCAGAGAAATTATTTTCCCACACCGTCCAAGAAGTACAGTGCCTTGTACTCCTTAGGTCTCAAAAATGCTTGTTGTAGAAATAAAAACATTAATTGACACAATCACATTAATTGTTTAGGGGAAATAAGCAAGCCTAGCTCCCAAACAAACAACCCAAGTGGTAATGTAACATAATGTATGGTTTTCTGCCCATAATCATTCATTCACTCATCTGAGGTAGGCTCCAAATTAGACTCAAGAACCAGCAGCAATAATTTATTGTCTATCACCTTGAAGGCAAACCTCTCCCCTCTTTTTTAAACAACAAACATGTCTTTGAGAGACGAGTTATTCCAATTTCCTTTTCTGGAAAGATTCATGATGTTTTGCTACTTATCATGGAAAAAATGAACCTCAATTGCCATCTCATACCATGTACAAAGATTAACTGAAAAAAATCATACTATAAAAAACCTAAACTGTAAAACTTCTGAAGAAAACGTAGGAGAAAAATCTTTGTGACTCTGGGTCAGCCTAGGATTCCTTAAGTAACACATCAAGAGCAAAGTCCATGATAATTTGAAACTGAAAGTCATCAAAATTAAAAGATTCTGTTCTGGGGATGAAAGGTTGGTTCAATATTCACCAAGCAATAAACATGATACACCACATTAACGAAATAAAGGATAAATAATCATATGATCATCTCAGTAGATGCAGAAAAAACATTTGACCAAATTTGACATCATTTATGATAAAAATGCTTAATAAAGTGGGTTTAGAGGGGAAATACCCCAACATTATAAAGGCCATACGTGGAAAACCCACAGATAACATCATACTCTGTGGTGAAAACTGGGAGCTTTCCTTTAAGATCAGGAATAAAACAAGGATGTCCATTATTCAACAGAGTTCTAGAAGGCCTAGCCACAGCAAGCAGATGAGAAAATAAAAGGCGTCCATGTTGGTAAGAAAGAAGTAAGGCTGTCACTAATTGCAGATGACATGATACCATATACATATGATATATACATATCATATACATATATGTAAGGCTATATACACACTGTATACATGGTATGGCTATATACATACATATATATAACCCTAAAGACTCCACTGAAAAACTATTTGAAGCAATAAAATAATTCAGAAAAGTCACAGGATACAAAATACACAGAAATCAGCTGCATTTCTACACACTAATAACAAAGTAGGGAAAGAAAAATTAAGAAAACAATTCCATTTACAATTGCATGAAACAGAATAAAATACCTAGGAATAAACTTAATCAAGGATATGAAAGAACTATTAGGACATTGATGAAAGAAATTGAAGAAGACACAAAGGAAAGATATTTCATCTTCATGGATTGTAAGAATTAATATTGTTGCAACATCTATACTACTGACAGCAATCTACAGATTCAATGAAATTCTTATCAAAATACCAAGAGCATTTTTCACAGAACTAGAATAATAATACGAGAAAAATAATACTATTTTTATGGAACTTCAAAAGATACTAATTGGCCAAAGCCATCTTGAAAAAGAAGAACAAAGCTGGAGGTATCACAATTCCAGATTTGAAGATACACTACAAAGCTGTAGTAATCAAAACAGTATGGTACCGGCACAAAAACAGCCACATAAATCAATGGAACAGAATAGAGAGTACAGAAAGAAACCCACGCTTATATGGTCAATTAATCAGTGACAAGGGAGGCATGAATACAAAATGGGGAAAAGAGTCTCTTCAATAAATGGTGCTGGGAAAACTGGACAGCTACATGCAGAGGAACGAAACTGGACCACTTTCTTACACAAAAATAAACTCAAATTGGATTAAAGACACTTAAATGGGAAACATACAACCACAAACCTTCTAGAAGAAAGCATAGACAGTAATTTCTCTGACATTGGCTGTAGCAACGTATTTCTAGATATGTCTCTTCGGGCATGGGAAACAAAAGCAAAAATAAACTCGTGGGACTAAACCATAAACAAAATGAAAAGGCAACCTACTGAATGGGAGAAGATACTTGCATATCTGAGAAGGAGTCAACATACAAAATATATTAAACACTTCTACAACTCAACACGAGAAACCCACCAAACAATCCAACTAAAAATGGGCAGAGGACCTAAACAGACATTTTTTTTTCCAAAGGAGACACACAGATGGCAAACAGATATGAGAGAGAGACAGAGAGACAGAGAGAGAGAGCCCACACACAAGTAGAGGAGGAGCAGAGGGAGGGAGAGGGAGAATCTCCAGCAGATTCCACACCCAGCATACTAGCATAGAGCCTGACGTGGGGCTTGGTCTCATGAGTGTAAGATCATGACCTGAGCCAAAATCAAGAGTCAGACGCTTAACCAACTGAGCCCCCCATGTGCCCCCCGACAAGATTTCTTACAGGCAAATTATGACCTGCGGTGCCAATGAGACAATGATAACGTAGGCATCTCCAACACTGCTGATAGAAGAAAAAAGTTGGCACAACATATCGGGAGGAAATTTGCAAATGTGATCAAGAACTTCATAAATGCTTCTCAAGAAGCCCATTCCTAAGAATTTATCTCAAATACGTAATTAGAGATGAGTAAGAATGTTCAGGACAGCATTATATTATAGAAAAAAACGGGACATCTAAATGTCCAACTACATATCTTAATACAATGTGGAATGTGAGGCAGACTACCTATGAAACCATTAAAAATCACACTTGAAAAATATCTAATGACATGAAAATATTCATCGTATGTTACATGGAAGAAGAATAAAAAACCGTTTAATTGGTGAGGTTTGCACTTGGCACGGACACTACGTAAGTATGCATATAGCAAACAAAACCAGGGGTAGGTAAACCAACATACTGAGAGTGCTTGTAGACCCTGCAAGTTGTCAGGACGGAGATCACTAGAGGAAGGGGGTAGGTGAGAGTTGAAGAGAAATGAAGGTAGGATTTTACCTGGGCCTTTTTTAGAAAGGGGATAAATTTGAGACAAGAGTCAAGAAGAAAGCTAAGCAAAGACTCAAGGCAGGAAGCCTATGGTAATGAAGGCACAAAATAATTGTTTGTTCATAATAAATACAGTGATTAATTTAATGAAGGTTTTGAGTGAGCCGAAAGAAGACATATTTGGTTGGTGCAGGGGCTTGGGTATATCGGAGAGAAGAAAAATAATGTTGGAAATTTTAAGCTGGAACTAAATCAGAGAAGTTACTTAATGCTAGTCTGAAAAATTACAGTTTTCTTCTCTAGAAAATGGGAAGCCCCTGAAGATTTCTGAATAGGAAAATGTGCCCATAGAAACGTTGGGGAAGTTTAATCCAGCAGTGATGTGTAGGTTAGACCAAGGGTGTTTGCCAATAGAGGTGGTCAGTGCCAACAGAGGTGGTCAGAACAGACACACACACACGCAGGCACACACGCACTCTCGAATTGAATGAGGTTACTGCAACAGTTCCAGGCACACAGTGATCATCACAGCTTGAGCCGGGAAGTGGCAGGAGAAATGGAAAACCTTAGTTAACTTAAAATGTTTCTGTAGTTAAGCAGGCGAGGCTTAACTTCTTTTTATAAAGGGAACTAGAGCAATGGGAGTGGAAGAGCTTCCTGTCAATGGGACTTTCCACTGTCACCTTTAAAAGAAGCTCCAAGATTGAACAGAACAATTATGTGTCCTTCCTCAGATTCTGTTTCTTGAGAGCCTTATTTCTTGCTGTCTTGTAATTATGGTTATATGTACATACACAAAATTGTACACTGTCGCTAGCTATGGTTTAATAGAAGTTAAGTATCAATAGGCTATTGCATTCTGCCCGCCCTGTGAACCGAGTCACCATCAGTTTTTAATTGAAAAATATCGAATTATTTTTTTAAAAAGAGACCCTATCCTCACTCCCCCCCACACTGTAATATCCACAGCCACGATGTATCTTCCCGTTGCTCCTGTGGATGTAACAGTGGTAAATTTGGGGAACAAAGCAAATTATGGCATGTCAAGGGGTAATTTACTAGTTCTCTCTAAGCTACCCAAGCACAAAAAAGGATACTTCTCCAATCACTACCATCTAAGATATTTTGAATTGGGAACTGAAGGGGGTTCCTCCCAGAAGGGGAAGAAACCCAGAATTTGGAGTCCTTCACATAGGTTAATTCTGCTTAATTATCACATGTGTAATAAAATCCCCAACCATCTACTATCATATTTCAGTAATTTAAAAATACTTGTGTAAGTCTGGACAGGACTTAAGGAGACACGATGACTAAATATAATGTGGTATCCTAGATGGTATCCTGGAACAGAAAAGAGATATTTGCGAAAAAAAAAAAACTAAAATACAAATCCAGAATTTAGTTAATAATGCTGCACTGATGTTGGTTTCTTATTGTGACAAATGTACATGGCAACGTAAGATGTTAATAAAAGAAACTGGGTGTGGGAATAGGACAACTGTCTGTACTATCTTTGCAAGCTTTCTGTAGATTAAAAACTATTCAAAAATAAAAAAAAAGTTTATTTAGAAAACACCTATGTGGGAGATTTACATGCTTCTGTCATTTACTACAGACCCAGAAAGGAGATATAAACCTACATTTGTCCCCTAATTGTCTCTGGGTAGAGCTCACAATGTTTAGCAGCTTCACTCACTTAGATGTAACCCACATTCTCCATAGAGAATGTCAACAGTATTCTTTAAACCTCAGCCATAATTTTTTTTTACCCATTAAAAAGTCATC